TATTGTATAACATTCTGTAGCTATCAAAATCGGGCATGTTAAACAGCGTCAGGTCTTGTACTAACAAATAATTCGAGATGAAACAATTCAAAATTTACATAATCCTCTTCGCGTCTTTTAAAGACGCTTACTGGACATGTTCTTAGTTAACCAAATCAAAAAGTCGACATTCTTCTCTTCACGCTCCTTTTGCTTGCCTCAATTTCAAACTAAACGTGTTATAAATAATTATTAGCTTGTTTTCCGCTACACTATCTAATCTAAATGCGACAATCTCGTGTTTGGTTAAACTACTTTTAGTCATAAAAAAACTGGCGCAAAATTTCACTTCATACTCTTTTGCGTGTTTTGGTATAAAATGAGACTGGTTATTATTTATTTATTTATTTATTTAAGTAGTTATTATCCCTCTCTTGGTTCTGGCCCCTCAAAAGGACACATTTTCTACTACTGATTGGTGCTAGATATACAGGGTGTTACAACCGAGGGTTCAACGTGTTTCTTTGAAAGCCACCCCCAAAGAAGTGGTGAAATTTGCATTTCTTCTTTAATTTTATTCTCAGCAACCATAATTTTGTGCAAGTGACTAGTGAGGTCTTCAACCCCATGTAAATGTAATGAAGTCCGTTACAATTGCCAAGGTAAAGAGAATCTTTTACTTTTAAGTGGTTAGCGAAATTAACGAAGCGACAAAATTTTATGATGTGACGAGGCTATTTCTGCAAGACATAATCCACTATTACAAACAATTTAGGTAAAATAGATTGGTGGATACAATTACCTTTAATACATTGTAATTACATACAATCTACCATAACGCTTATTGATTCATTCATATATGAAATATGTCATTTCATGGTGAATAAATGTCAATTAATTTGTTTGAGTATCGAATGAAGTTAATGAAAGTTGAATCAAGATCGTAAGTAGTCGTACATAGACAATTGGGAAGGAAACGAAATAGAATAAAATTGATTATCTCAAGCAACAAGGTAAATGGAAAATTACTATCGTCCTTTTTGAGTGGCGCAATGGATGTGGTAGGTTCCTTCCAAGAATATGGAGCTGTGGGGTAAATGACACCGAAGATGAATAAAACGATCAGAGAAAATTTAAATGCGTTGCAAATTATAGTAGCTATATAATTCACCAATACACTACGTCCTGTTAAAATTCGCACGTAAAACGCCATAAATGAATCACAGAAACGATGTCCACTGCAGTTGATGGTCTGTAATAATAAAGCATACCTACCCTTCCGTCACAGAATTATGAAAGCAGGGAATGTCATCTACAATAGAAACAAAAAAGATCTGATGATCTTTATGGAACCCAAGAGATAAGGATTACTTATACGCCGTATGGGGTATACGCACCACTGTGAACTCGTATTGCATTAATTTGATAAGTTTGAGCTGTTTTTTATTCAAATAGTACGAGAGTTTGTAGAATTTGTTACCGTCACCGGTTGTTGTATTTTTATGTTTTGTATCTTCAAACATTGCATTTGTATTTTCGTCTTATGATCTACGAGTATTATTATCATTTTACACTGATGAAGCATTGTAGTGTTAACTTTTTTGTTTCTTTTCAAACATTCATATTATGTTGACCAGAACTGACCATGTCATATGTGCACTTACACACAAATTCGATTTCAATGTAATTTGCCATAAGTGGGCCGTTATTTATATGAAATTATGAAAAATTGCACTAACTATTAGTTGCATAGCAACTAGTTCTTATAACTGGGATGTGATCGAATTATATTTAAAATAAATTGTTCGAACGTCTTCCATGCATACAGGAAACTATTTTTAGTTAACTTAGTGGAATGGCTACTGGTATGGGCGGGCGAATATTAAACCTCTTTGAAGATAAAGCGCGCGAGTATCCCAACAATTTCGATAATAGCTATTTTGGTGGTTATTGGAATTATACACTATACAGGACCTTCAAACTTAAGTCGGTACTATTGTTAACTTCGTTATTAGAAGTGATATAAGGTCGATTAAATTAGAAACTACTGTGTTTTTTTACGTTAATAACAATTGTTAAAACAGAAGAACAATTCACAGTCGACAAAAACGAACTTTTTCCTAATGAAACACCCTGTAGACGATATCCTCACTAGGTAGAGAATTACATTGTCAGTAAAAGTTGTCATATTGGTCTGAAGTCAAAAATAGGGAAGATATTGTAGCGACCATTCCAGGAATCTCGATAGGCATCGAGGCACCATGAAGAATAAGTCATTGGCGATAAGGAACGACGGCGGATGTGACGTAAGAGATGTTTAGTGTTTGCGTTAGAATATTCTGAAAGACTCAAAAACAATTGTCGTTTACTATATAAGCAAATTGTAGCGCATTTCAGTCAGTTCTACTTATATGCGCTTGTTATAAATTAATCGATCTTAAGACTACCTAATGAATTTGTTGTTAATTAATTGTTATAAATAAACGATGTAATTAAATTTACATTACAATATTGACAATTTTTAAATTTAATCAACGAGGATTGGGTTCAGAAACAAGGCTAAGGGTGGTGTACTGGCATATGGAATAATCACCAGTTTACGAAGGTCTTATGTTAGTTGCAGGGAAATGAACATTATACCCCTCCCCCCAGACCTCCCGGTGGCGTGGTGCTACGTACCCTCCAAAAACAAAACCTTCCGCGCTCTCGTGGCCTTTTTTGACTAAAGAGAACATCATCGACCTCTCCTTTCTTTTGAAATAGTCATCAGAG